AGAGTTGCCGTGCCTATTAAGCAGAGTTATCAGTTAAACGGATTGTGACTGGTCGGTTTAAAAACTGCTAATAACTTTAGAGTCGACTTCAACTTAAGTGTCACTACTGATTGCTTCTTTTGACCACCACTGTAACCAGTTCGTCAAAACTAATGCAATTAATAAATTGCAAAGGTAAAATCTATTCGCATTCATCTCATTGCACAATAGAACCGCTACCTACTGCTGCTCGCTACTTTGAAAATTATTCAACTTATTCTGCTAATCATCATTAGGTGTAGTGAAAGTGACACTGGTTTATTGAAGTTGAATGAGCTTAAAAACAAAAACAAATATATCCCTGCAGGAATGCACCGTATGTTTTCAAGTGGCGTTTGAATCGTTTACTTAAATTTTCTGTTTTTCTATTTTTCTTTCCACCGCCATCGGCGCCATCACCTCTGACTTCATTGAATTCGTTGTGCAGGCGTAATTTTTCTACGTATAAATTACACTGACTTACCGACCCAACAGATAAATTTACAAATCCATTGTTTTGAAAGCTCCCACATACATATGTACATACAAACCGAAAAACTGCATAGAAAAAATAAACGGCGTTGGTGCTGCAATGACCCCAACATAAGGTACCTGAGTACTAATAAGGACTACATATATACTTGCATTGCAACTGCGTTGTTTATACCTCGTTGTCTTTTCACTGATTCGGCACTACGACTACGAGTTTGTAATTTTTTTTTTCTTAGTACACATTATATCCGATTTGTTTGGCTATCGGCCCCAGTTGAGTCAAAGCAACATTGGCACTGTTTTCGCTTTGCATCTAAGTGGCTGTTAAGCGAGTGTTTACTCGATTTCAAGTTCGACAACAATTGTTGCAACAATGCCACTGAATGGATGCTATAAATAACTATTCACTGTTACATACTGCTAGGCATTTGACTGAGCTTCTGAATTCCCCATTAAGTCGAAGCTGATATTCCCAGGTCGATAAAAAGTTAAGCAAGTAAAGGTAATGAATTATAGAGCATTCCATTGCTTAGATTCAAACTTCTACTACCTTTGCAAAAACTATTCTCTCGGATGTTCCAAGGCTCCAAACATTTTGCTGCTATGCCCATTTTACGGTAGGGTGGATAGGAGTAATCAGTTTTTGGATTTCAAAATTCTAAAGGCGCAGAAAAGTTGCAACATTGAAACGTGTTTCAGATCGGATAAAATTTACTGTGTTGATGCCATAAAAATTCACTCCATTCTTCGGCCATTTACGAAATCAGGCATTGTAGAGCGTGTCATATTCCTGATTCTCGGCGGAGACGCCATAAAAGTAGATTTCCCTAATTGATATGCCCTTCATAGAAAGGCTACACCTCATATGATGTAAGTAAGTAATAACCTCCTCATTTTACCAGATTTCAAAAATGTACCAAATCTGAAAGTTATGTACCAGTGTACCCAACTGAAAAAATGTACTAAAAATGGTATATATTTTGGCAAAAATGGCAAACGTGCACTGGCCTGCTGAATATTATGCACCAATGGGTCAATGATTCAAAAAAGGAGTTGACGCTGGTCTCTTTATGCAGAGGACCTACAAATAAGATAAAATTTGAAAAAAAAAATATCAACGAAATTTCGTAAAAATTTCGAGTGGTTTAATTCGATTTTCTAGAAACAATTTGAGTATGCAGTTTTGTAGCCCATTAATTTATAATATAATAAAGTGCACGTTTTAGCAAATAAGATGTCGTAACTCTCTCGTTTGATATAAATATTTTGATATTTCATATTTGCAAATTTTGTATAATTTCATTAAATTTCATTTGCAAACAGATGGCGACCTTGTTCAAAATATTTGCAAGCTATGACTTTTAAGCTCCTTCGTCTGACTCCCATATATGTATATGCTGATACAAATTTCGTTCACCTAATTCTCTAAATTAAAATGGAATTTGATTTTTTTAACAGCTGGCAACCCTCCCATATGTAGTTAAGAAATCAATTCTTTCAATACCCATTTCAATTGATACCCATCTTTTAATAATTCATTTAACTAATTAAATAATTTGAATTAAATTTGTTAACAGGTGGTAACTCTTTTAAAAAAATTTGCCTTTATTACACATTTAAAGGACAAGACATTTAATGTGCCTTCCCATTTTTGAAAATAAATTACAAACTTGTAGGAAATCTAATTTGCTACAAAAAAAGTTACAAAAGCAACAAAACGCTAGCATCGATATTACGTGAGACATTTTCAGATAATTTTTTTAGGTACTTTCCACAAAATTTCGAGGTGGGAATGAATCAAAAATAGTCGCGAAAACAAGCACTCTAATCTACATAGTATATATCGATGGCTGATTGGAAGATCGACCTATCTCGGCAGCCAGTGCGAGAAAACGCCCTATCTCAGAAAATTTTTTATTAACGCCTTATCTCACTCAGCCATCGATATGTAGATACATTTGTTTGAACATAATCAGCGAAAAATTTCACCACTGTTGAGTGTACATACACTAACAGACATGTTTGTACTTGTGTTTTTAAATCCTCAAGCAATGGCTTCGCGTGTCGACAAACATTTTGGCAAAAGCACGAACGTCACCAAAGACAAGTGGAGAAATGAATGTTTTCTTAAAAATGTAAGCACACGAGCAGTTAAATATATAAATTTAATTCATGCAATCAATCCGCAGAAGAAAGTGGGTGGAAAAGTTGGCACATGAAAGTGTTGCCTAGAGATAAAGATACACAAAAACGCAAGCACAACGCTTAAGGCAAACTCCAATGGCTATTAGCAGTTGCAATAACAACAAAAAAATGCACTTCTGATAAATAATTAGATGATCATTTTCAATTGCCNACGCTTAAGGCAAACTCCAATGGCTATTAGCAGTTGCAATAACAACAAAAACTGCACTTCTGATAAATAATTAGATGATCATTTTCAATTGCCAGCAACAAGCAACAAGCAACCAAACAGCCAGCAATAGCCAGCAATTGCACCAAATCAGCAGCGATGCTTGCAATTTTTCACTCAAAACTGACGAGCCGCAATGGAAAAGTAAGCGTTAGCAGCGCTCGCATCCAACACGCTCTAAATACTTAGCTGGCGCATGCGAAGAAAAAACTAAGCAAAGCGTGGTAAAACGGCTTCACCGCAGATCAGTTGCAAAGTAGAAATAAATACTAAATGATTTTTTCGGCTCTGGCAGACTTGGCAAGTGGGTCCAGCGATAGCAGCAGCAAGGCAACCGATCGCGCGCTGCACTAATTGTGGCAAGGTAAAGTGTATAAATTTGATTGCCGCACAAGCGGCGCAGATCAGTTGCATTTCGCTGAAAGTTAGAAGAGGCTGTTAATCACTCGAATATTTCGTGCTACTTTTTAGAAATAAGAAGTTTCAAAAAAACCAAAAAACAAAAAACACTCGTTAGACATTGAACTTGAACCACCGCCGTAAGGATATGCGGTAGGGGGTATCACTCGAGCACTCCTGCCTAATTTTGGATTAATACGCTGTGCTTACGCTGAATATCCTGCCGTCTTTGCCGCCTGCTAGCCGCAAAAAGCTATCGCCATGGATGCCAGTTTATTAAGGCTCTTGGCCGCGCTCATATTGATCTCGCTGTATCGGCAAGCGGCGCTGCTTGAGGTATCCACTCGCATTCACACCCGCAATGAACAGCGAAGTGATGGTGGCCGTAGCATAATGCTGGAGAATGGTCTTACACGCACGCTCAAGCACATCTACGGTATCTGCGGTGATCGTGATGACCTTTTTTGGTGTTTCAAGGTGCAAGCGACACGCCTGCTGGGACGCGCGCTAAAAGTACAGAACATCAATATCGTCGAAGGTGTGACGATTGTTAAGAAAGTAGACAATGAAACGCGTACGGGGCGCGCCAGCGCGAATGCCGAACTAAACCTGAGCAATCGTGATTTGGAAAATCTATCGATGAAGAGCTTGGATGCGCTGCTAATGGAACGTTTTTTGCGTTTCATTGACAGTCGACAACTGCAGGTGAACTTGCCGCGACTACTCAATTTTAGTCAGCGCAACGGGCAGGATTTATTCAGCGCCATAAGCGCTTACTTCCAACAATTTACGCTGGGCGATGACGAAGTGGATGCGCAAAATTCGATGGTAGAAGGACGCAAGAAAAAGGGTGATGATAAGAAGTATTTGGGGCCCTTCATAGCGGCCGTTATGCTAAAGACGGCCATACTCAAAATGGCCTATCACTCGATCGCTATTGTTGCTGGCAAAGCGCTGATTGTGGGCAAGATTGCGCTCATTATAAGCGCCATAATTGGCTTAAAGAAGCTGGTGTCATCGGAGGGCGGTGAAAAGACCACTTACGAAATTGTCAAACACCCGCAAGTGCAGCACAGTCAGACCTATTCATCGAGTCACGCGGGCGAATACGAGGCCGGCCATGAAGGCGGCTCCTACCATCGGAGCATAGACGACGAGATGATGATGCAGGATAAAGCGTATAATGCTTGGGTGCCCTCGCGTGTGCAAACATAAGAGTGAGCGGAAGGTTGAGGTTGAGGTTGAGGTTATGAATTGGGGAGCTAGATCGCGTGTGAATGTGAAAGCGCATTGATGTGTTGTAGCGGCGAGAAAGTCATTACCGTCACAGCAGAACGATTTTGAGATCAAACCAAAGAAGATCACCAAAAAAAGATTAGAAAAATTGTTGCAATAATTGTAAAAAAAAAGTGCTGCGTAGTAATTATAGAGAAATGCGGTTGACGGCACTCTATCGTTATTTGTTATTGTAAATTAATCCCGTATAGCAAAGAAGACTAAAGCTAAAATTTTATTTATGTATGTTCAATTTAAATTACTAATGCATAATATATTTATATTATTGTTATGTGTATTTACTTTTACATAGATATGTAAGGCCTAGTTTGTAAATTCATCGGCGTAATAAACCAACATTTACAACCGTGTACTTACATTTGTTTTATTTTCGCTGCTTAACCCTTTCACTTATATAAAACATACTTAGCCACCACATACTTAACGTCAATTAACTCTAAAGAAAACCAGCCTGCACTTGTCTTCGTTTGTCATCGACGCCAATTATTTCTTTAGTTGTTTCGCTAATGTCACCAACGTTGTAGTTGCCATGATTTTGAGGAGTTGCCTGTGATGGTGTGTGGTAGTATTTTTTGTTATGCTTTGACTCTACGCTAACTATTTCAGGAAAAATGTGTGGCATACTACGATGCCATCCCGAATCGTAACTATAACCATCGTGTCCGTGTTCATGTCCGCCACCTCCACCTCCAGCATGATCGTGGCTCTTTACAACGATGTGCTCTGTACTACCACTGCTTCCAATCGATCCCCTTTTGAGACTGCCCTGAAACGAATAGATTTCCATGTCGCTTATGCAAATGATTATTTAATAAAGGGATATGTTTTCATAAAGAAATTGACATGCAAGCATATACATACGTATGTAATGGAATACAGATAAATATAAACAGTTTCTGGTGCTAAATTAAACTTAGTCAAAAATGATGATAAATAAAAGTATGTATATTGCTNATTTCCATGTCGCTTATGCAAATGATTATTTAATAAAGGGATATGTTTTCATAAAGAAATTGACATGCAAGCATATACATATGTACGTATGTAATGGAATACAGATAAATATAAACAGTTTCTGGGGCTTAAATTAAACTTAGTCAAAAATGATGATAAATAAAAGTATGTATGCTTGGCGTCGTTAACAAATATATTTTATTATTTTAAACCTCGCACAAAATTACCCAGCCGCACCGACAAGATTCGGGCAGAGACCCAGTGCTGGCAGGGCAAAACGGCCTTTACTGTGCCTTTTTTCTTAATGGACCACACCAGATTTTTTCAGATGGAAATTCAGGCACTTTCCTCTTTCCCGGTTAGGTCACAACTTGTGGAGGACTAGGGGAGAGAGTTGGCCTCAAGTTTTGATAAAAACAAAATTACCTTAACCCCAATAACCCTGAAGTTTGTTTGTAAATATATTAGAATAAATGAAAAAAAATACCTCGATAGGTGTCCTCGGGTACCTACAGTTTTTTTTGAATTAAATGCCCCAGGGTCTATATCTTCTTCGATGGCACGATACTCCACCATTGTTTTCCTCGCGATCTCTANACCCAGCCGCACCGACAAGATTCGGGCAGAGACCCAGTGCTGGCAGGGCACAGCGGCCTTTACTGAGCCTTTCGCTTAATGGACCACGCCAGATTTTTTTCAGATGGAAATTCGGACACTTCCCTCTTTCTCGGTTAGGCCGCAACTTGTGTAGGACTCTAGGAGAGAGTTGGCCTCAATTTCTGATAAGAACAAAATTACCCTATCCCAATAACTGAACTGAAGTTTGTTTGTAAATATATTAGAATAAATGAGAAATAAATGAAAAAAAAGACCTCGATAGGTGTCCTAGGGTACCTACGGTTTTTTTTTGTATTAAATGCCCCAGGGTCTATGTCTTCTTCGATGGCACGATACTCCACCATTGTTTTCCTCGCGATCTCTCCGGTGGACATTGTAACCGTTTGAACTAAACAGAGTCGAGTAACTGTGCGACTACGTTTTCTGAACCGCATCTTTACGTATCCCATGCCGACCCATAAAGACGATTATCTCTCCGATCTTGCTCTGGAGTCCGTTGCAGAAGGCAGCCACATTCCGGTATATCTTGTTCTGACACACGTGTAACTGTGTGATTAACAAAGATCTGCTGGTTAACCTTCGCATGAGATTTGTGGCCCGATCCCTGTGTGACCTTAGGCCTGAGCAGTTTCTTAGATGTTTTCATCGTTACAGGTATGAAGTCGGGTTAGGTCGCCGAAACAACAGCCTTTGACTCATTCCGATACCTAGAACCCGGCTGTCGTTGGAATGCAGTGCCACCGTAACCATCATCCCTTGGATATCCTTCACCANGCCGACCCATAAAGACGATTATCTCTCCGATCTTGCTCTGGAGTCCGTTGTAGAATTAAGCCACGTTCCGGTATATCTTGTTCTGACACACGTGTAACTGTGTGATTAACAAAGATCTGCTGGTTAACCTTCGCATGAGATTTGTGGCCCAATCCCTGTGTGACCTTAGGCCTGAGCAGTTTCTTAGATGTTTTCATCGTTACACGTATGAAGTCGGGTTAGGTCGCCGAAACAACAGCCTTTGACTCATTCTGATACCTAGAACCCGGATGTCGTTGGAAGCAGTGCCACCGTAACCATCATCCCTTGCATATCCTTCACCCCTGCTAATCTATTTTTCTGGTGGTTCGGTGAATACCCTAGCTACCGGCTAATCAAGTTCATTATATTTCCTCGAACAAAGCTCTTCTAGGTTGTCAAAGATATTTCTCGGGGATAGATTACTACATATACATAAAAAGAAAATTTGTAAAATATATTGAAAAACTATATAAAATATTATAAACGACGAGAAATGGCGGCAAAATGACACCAGCATTGCCATATGGCACCGAGTGCAAAAAACAACAAAAAAACTATCTTAAACCAAATTTTTCGCATAACTTTTTTCCATGGATTCCAATTTAAAGTCTTTCCCAAATGATGCATTTCGCGAGTGGTGGAATTGTACAGGACGATTACCACTCAGATGTGAAATACCTACGACCCTCTTAAAATCAGGGTCTGGTAGAAATTGACAAGGAAAATACAAACAAATCACGGCTTTATCTAGAGGACAGTGATGTAGATGTGCTTCCCGCAATGAGCTGCATAAGTTTCAATAGGTTCTGTCACTGCTGCAAAGGCCCAGGTTCAAAGAAGATAGTTGGACACTTGTGAGTACTCGGCGCTTGCGTGAGTGAGCCTAATACACTAGTATTTCAGAGCATATCTCAGTAAAATATATTGAAATTCATCAATACCGCTAGGTGGTTAGGGTAGATGCACTCAAAATCGCTAAACTTTTATAATTGCTTCTCATTAGATTTCAGTATACGGCCCTATAAATTTACCAGTTTACATACTAAATACTTCGAGGGCTTTAACAGGTTGTGGAAACTTTCCATACAGCACTTGGGATGTTTTGCATTCTCTGTTTTTGTGCTTTTAACTATCGGTCTTCCCTAAATATTCCTTGCAGCTGTAAGAGAAATGGGCCACGCCACACGGAAAAGAAGGACGAGATGATCAAAGACCCCTTTTATGAACAGTTGGAGTACAAATACGAGCGATACCCCGTCACTACACTACGTATACTTTTCAGCATATTAGAATTCATCAAGCTACTTATATGGCTGTCTCCAGATCGAAAGAAGAGAATCCAAATCGATCAGTGGGATAACGCTCGAAAATTATATCTAAAAGTTACGCGACTTTGGGAAGGTTCGACGACCAGGGTGAGCACTTTTTTGAATAACTGCAGTGGCCTAGTTTCCGATATCCAGAGCGAACATGGACGCATAAGCGCATGGCTGATGACTTGAATTTAAGCGTTACCAACCTAATATACAACAAAACGATCAGGGTACTTTGGGGTCAACCTCTAAAACTTCGCGTATAATGCCTTATTGAGCGTCGTGTGTAAGAGCCTAATGCCTGCCCTTTACAAACTATGTTGGCCTTACCAATGCGGTTTTAAACCTAGTGAAACCGCGGCCATCCAAGTATTTTTCATATGCAATTCCGTTCAGTTGTTTTCGCGTGATTGAGCCACAAACATTCAAACGCACAAACATACTATCTTTCAGTATTATAATATAAGTAGGACTGTTCATTTTCTAGGTTGAATTTTCAAAAACTACGCGCAATTTACAAAAAATGTGCGTTGAGAAAGAAACCAAAAATTCATATCGTCGATCCTTTTGTAAAGCCGCCCATCTACCAATCGCAAAACCTCGTATCTTACGGCACTAAAATTTTATCGAAAAAATGGTTTTTCTTTGAAGGCATTAATTTAAAAGGTAGTATTTTTTCTAGCTATTATTTTACAAATGTGATATTTTAATAATGCTTTTACGATGTTGATGCATAAATCTCGATGCTGGAGTTCAGGGTTACCAAAACTAAATTTTTGTCACAATCGCGATTTAGGCGATTTTGCATTTGGTCGATGGGTGGTTTTGCAAAGGCTTCGGCGATATATCTACGTTTATTGGAATTTAGTCATATTAGTTCATATTAAAAATTTTCTTATTTTGAAATAATGTATTTTTTAAAGCAATCAATTTAATCTTATCAAAATAATCTATTTAGGCCAAAATTTCTGCGTATTTAGCTTTTCTCTCAGATGCAGGATTTTTTCAAAGGACTTTGAAATACAAGACTATGGTTTACTCAAAAAAATAATTTTAAAAATTCAGTGCAATATAGAGTAACAGGATGGGTAGTAAATGAAAAAAAATAAATAAAAAAAAAATCTGTAGAAATGGAGAAAAGTACGAAAAGTTACTGAAAATGTCATTCTAAAATTGTATCCCTGAATATCCACGAAAATTTCTAATATTTATTTTTGAAAAAATTGTATGTTAAGGATTAATATATACACGACCACATCCTCAAATTCTGTCTTTCTAACTTTATTTACATTTAAAAATAAAATTAATTGAAAAGACATTTTCAATACCTATTCGTCATTGTGAATCAAAAAACTTTAGCGTAAATGCCTCGTAACCATGTAAGCCTCGTAAACATACTTAATTTTCTATGGAAAATCAGTTTATTTACGAGGTTTATGCGGTTATGAGACATTTACATGTTTCCTTGAATATCCATTTTAATATTTTTTTTTTTTAATTCTAAAGAATTTTTTCTTTCATTTGACACCCATTTTGCTTTTCAATATTGAATCTGCATTATGTAAATAATTTATTGAATTATTGTAACTTTAAAAAATTTAAAAAAAGTCTACGCATGACGTCAGAGAGAAAAACTAAACCCGCAGTTTTACTACATTTGGCATATTGATTGTTTCGTGTGTTTAGAAATTTTTATGTTTTTGTCGCACAGTTTTATCACTGATTGATATTAGCTTATGATTATGAATTCATTTGCAATATATTTACTCACAAGTACAGAGACGAGCAGTGCGATTTTCGCCATCACGAAGGCGGCGCCCGCGATCAGGATCACCTTGCCGAGGAACATTTGCGCGACCATTGCTATCATCGCCATGCCGCCCATCATAGCCATATTTTTGTCTTTGCCTTTCTTTTTACGTCCTTTAAGTGAATTTTTATTGAATAAATGCTCTTTTTCTTTAATATGCTTCTTTTTCTTATGTTTGTTTTTATATTCGTTTTTGCGTTTGTCTTTGTCTTTGTCTTTATATTTGTCTTTGTGTTTGTGTTTGTCTTTTTTCTTTTTGTCTTTCTCATTGCAATTGTCCTTGTCTTTATCCTTTTTCTTCTTCTTTTTCGTGGTTTTCTTCTTTTTATTTTTGTCTTTCTTCTTTTTGTTCTTATTCTTGTCCTTGTCCTTGTCAATTTCAATTTTATCCTTGTCATTTAGTAAGTTGTCATTACTATCACTACCACTAACGGTCAATTTATTAACGAATTGCTCTAATTTATCATCTACAAGACCATTTAAAATTCGTTTCGTACCTTCCTCCGCTTGCGCCACCTCCGCTGATGTTAAAGTTTCGGCTGGCGTGCTACTTTCCAGTGTAAATCCATCGATGGCATCCGAAATTCCTACGCCAATTTTCTTTAATGCTTGCATTGAGCTCGGCAGCAGTAAACGTATTGAACGTGATTTAGCCAACTTTAATAAACTCGCCGCGATGCTGTCCGGCATTGGCTTCTTGTCGTCCGACGACTGCAACGAGCGTTGTCCTTGTGCACGTTGGCTAGCTTGTCCTGTGCTTTCATTACTCCTGTCACTTGGCAATTGCTCGATAATAATAAAGTCGCCATACTGCAAGGTACTATTGTCCTTTGCCAAGGCATCTATGGCGCCAGTTAATTGCTTTTCAAGACATTTCCAACGCTCTGCTGTGGTCAAACACAGCGTGAGTGTGCGTCCAATTTCGCGCAACATAGCGAACCCTTTCGTGTCGTTAAAATTGCTGTTTTCCTTAATTGGGATTTTCGTTGTTACCGTAATCGCATTGCATTGGAGTAGCATCAAAAATTGCAGGACCAAACCTGCCACGCACAAACTCTTGCTGCTGCGCGCCTCCGCAGACATGCTCACTAACTATATAGTAAATAATTCGAGGGGAAAATTAATTAATTTTTTTTTCGATAATATTTTAAATTTTTTCTTATTCACGCGAAAAAGTTTGCTGTATTCACGCGCCTGCACTTCTACCGACTCTTTAATTTAAATATCTACTAAAATATTTTATTTTGATTTGTCCGCATTTATAGGGGTTCTCTATGGGTGGATGCACACAACCCACGCTCATCGCTCCCAAAAGTGAAGCAGACAAATACAAAAAATTAGCTGAAAGAAAAATTGAAAATAAGAAACTCAGAAAATTAAATTAGACTGCTTTAAACCAAAAACAAAAAAAAAAACACGAAGAATGATTATTTTAAGAACAGAGAGCACGTGCCACAAACGATGAAACGATGTGCTATTTAATATACATAATTGAGTCCAAAAGGGTATGACACTCTTTTACTCTACTTGCCTTCTCTCATTTCCAAAAACATTGCAATTACTGTGCTTGCCAAAGCGGTAAAACGAAAAGCGAAATTAGAAATTGATTGTCATCTCATCAGCGCTGACTTGTTGTTGCTTAGTGACAGTATGGCTGATACAGCTATAGATGATTACTATATATACATACATATGTACAATAGGGCGGGTCATTTTGTATGGGAAATTTTTTCGACTATAAGCATATAGCATATGAAGATTGTATGTGTAAATGTAAGCAAATTTGCCAAAGAAACCATGGGTCTAAAATCGATTTGCAGTTTGCCAAATTGCGAAAATGGGTTTCTTTTACTTAGAATTTTGCTGTAAAAAGACGGGGAAAATCCCTTTCCACTGATAGCTTATAAGTAATAGCTTTGCCCAAATTATTCAAGTTTTTTTTATTAAATCAACCTTTGAAAAAAGTTAAAAACACCATCAAAAATCTCATTACTACGATTCCGTTGAAAATATTGTTTAATGTTTCTATGCAGATTTTTTAAGCTTAATTAACCTGTTTTGTCATTTTGTTATCGGAGGGGTTTTTTTCGAAAAGTTCTTTAAAAAACTATTTTTATGCATAAAACATTTCGTTTTTGGAGTTATTTTCAAATCGGTCCAGCTAACGTAAATCTTAATACATTGCCGAAATATTTGGAATATAACAAATTTTGTAATCCCAGCGGAAAAACTGCAACTTTTTTTCGTGATGCAGTCTAATGTACATACCTACACATACATGTGTATACAATGCATACTATGCATGTAGTTTGTGTTGAATTTTAATTGGAAGGAAAAAAAGTTTCAAGTATAAGTAAAATATAGGTTTTTTTTTTATTTTTACACGTAAGAAAATGTGAGAATTTTCACTGTTGCGCCGTCTGGCAAATGTTTTAGGAAAAAGGTAAGTCCAGAAATTGATTCCTCATACCAAAAACCTCTTATAGCACGCTTTTATAAAAAATTTAAGCACTTCTATACTGCACTAAAGCAAAATGCTAAGTAAGAGAAACCTATTTTCGCAATTTGGCAAACCCCAAATTGATTCTAGACCATTTGTTTCCTTGAAAAATTTGCTTAGAATTACGCGTAGAACAAAAATGAATAAAAATTAAAAGTGGCATACACTTGAAAATATAAACATGCGGGTAATGTTTCTAATCGTTTGGCGGTATACTGTATATATACACCCACCAGAATAAGTCTACGTAGATTGTTTTTTTCCAGCTATATGCAATGTTTTTCGTAATAAGTTTTTACGTTACTTTTTAATAGAAATATAGCTCATTCCTCGTCAAATGGCATTTAAATTGATGTTTCACAGTTTTTAGAAAATTGAGGAAAATTCGACAAATTTTCACCAAAATTTTCAACTTTTAAGCAATTTTTTTTTTTGAGTAAGCAGTTTTGTAGTTCACTCAATTTCAGTGTAATAAAGTGGTTATACGCTACCGTTGATTTTTGAGATTTTTTTTGGCTGTTGATGTTGGTTATTTTCCCCATATAACAAATGCGTGATATTTTTTTTTAGCTTATAGCTATGTACTTAAACTTGTACTTTACTATGTATATGGAAACTGAGTGAACTACGAAACAGGATAATCAAAAAATTTATTTAATAATAACAGAGCAAAGCAAAATTTCACCATGCGACAAAAACAAAAAAAATTTCAAAACACACGTTAGGATCGATATACTCCGAATCAAGTATAACAAAACTTTGTACTTTTTCACTCTGACGCTTGGATTTTTTTTCAAAGGACTTTGAAGCTTTAAAGATATGATTAATTCAACAACTTATTTAGAAAAAATAAGTATCAAATATGAGAGCAAATTCTGTAGAATTTAAAAGAAAAAAGTTTTTTGGTTTACAACTACGAATGTGCTTTTATAAAATATATCTCTCTAATAGATTACCCACAGTTTTGCGAATATATTGATTTTTGTGGGTAAAATTTACCGTCGCACGGAGTTATCAAATTTATTTCTGCCATATTTTTTTTTTATTTTCAACATTTGTTGTTGATAATTTTTGCAATACTCGTAGTGCAGCTAGGTCTTAAAACATTTTATTGCTCAATAAATATAAATAAATACACAATTAAATGAGTTTCGTATATTACTAAGTAAATACTTACTAATTAGGTACACATACATATACTACATAAAAACTGAGAACTAAGATAAAAATACAATAAAACACCTCTTCGTCTTCTCACGCTCTCAATTCGACGACTTTCCAGCCGTTGTGTTCCTGATTTGCAGTCTTAAAGTCCTCATTCCTCACCTCCCCCTCATCGTCATCATAAGCGCTTGGCCCTAGTTTGCCATTTACCGATCTGGGCTTTGCGCTTCTATTATTTATCATAGCCACTTGTTTCTCATACTCGTAAAATCGATCAGGCGCTGGCGTTGTTGCGACCACTGTGGCACGCGTTGCATATTCACGAGGCTTCTCGAAGTGTATTTTTCGATCGTTGCGTTTGTAAGGGGAATGATGATGCAGCTCATCGCCTTCATACTGATTAAATGTACCCTGTTTACCTGGCAGATAACCTTCACCAGCACCAAATGAGTGTGCATGATGAGCATAGGGTCCCAATGGAATTCCGCCACCACCGCCGCCAAACAAACCAAAGCCGCCTAATCCACCAGCACCAGCACCAGCTCCGGCACTGAGCGCAGTTAAAGCACCACCAACGCCTAAAAAGCTACTCAGGTAGATCGCGAATTTGGCTAAGAAAAGCGATTTCTTCAACAGCAAGAAAATACCGGCGAACACAAGCGGCACCAGTGCAACCAAGTTAAACTTAAAGCCCAGCAGAAATGGTAGCAAGTATTGTTTGGTTAAGAGGCGAGCTTTCTTGTTTGCGGTTCAATTTCGAAGTGTGGTTGGATTGTTCGAAGCGTTGCACGTATGTATGTGTGTGTGTGTGTGTGTGTGGTTTGGTTGAATATGCATACATATAAAGAAAAAGTTTTGTTATTAGCTAAAAGCGCACTCAAAAGAAAAGTTTCAAAGCTTAATTTACCCGTTGATGGCTCTTCATAGCCAAAATTTCGTTCAACAATGGCCGGATCAAGCATGAATTGCGCCACACTGTTTGCATCGGAAGTTGGGCCGATCTTAAACATCAGCCCTGGATATATGGCATCCATATGCCACTCAAGTCCTCGCTGTCCCATAACGGCACCTGCGTTTTCCAAAATTCCTCTGCAATAAGATAAAGGATAATTTCTAAATAGTCTAAGGTAAATAATGCTCATTTAAGTTTTCATTAAATAGATCAAAAGAATTTTATTTTGTTTTAAGCTGTGCTTTAACTAGAAAAAATTTGAAAATTCAATTAGACAAAAATAAAATTTCAACTGACCCTTTTGTGAAAGTTTACTGCAATAAGACTTAAGCGTAACTGTCATCCCTTAACTGGCGCGCCTGGCGCCAAGGAACTGTCAAAAATCCTCATGCCCATACAACTTGTATGAAGCCTCCCACAATAACGCACCGCTAGCGCCGAGCGAATGGAATTTTCATGTTTGGCAGGGCGTTACGTGTTGAAGTCGGATGCAGAAGACGGAAAGGAAGAAAGAAGACAAAACCGTGAAAGAGGAAACAAGAAGATAAGCGAGGAAATGTGAAAGCGTCAAAAAGAATGCCGCGTTGATTTGGGTACAGAGCGCGCTTCACTCTTTGGCATAGGCAAACGCAACGCTTAGCGCTCAAATTTAGGGAAGACAGTAAGAAAAAAGACTTTCGGGATTCTCAAAATTTATCGATAAAATAATCGATATTTTTGTCGGTTTGGTATCGATATTTTTATGGATTTTTTTGGATTTCGGAACTTATCGATATAATAATCGATATTTGTATCGATTTGTTATCGATTTTGTAATCGATATTTTTAATTATTTTGTTAGCGATATTTTTTATCGATTTTGTTATCGATATTTATTTATTTTGTTATCGATATTAATTTGTTTTGTTATCGATATTTATCGATTTTGTTATCGATATCTACTAAGATATCTATATAACGGAAGATACCCTTACCAAATATCCATTTAGAAAAATCCTAGGGATTGAGAGCTTAACATTTAAATTTTTTATTTTGGACCACTCTACGTTAGAGAGAGTTAGATAGATAGACCGTCGGCGAGTACTGTGGCTCAACCCAGTGGACAACCGTTTCACTACGATCCGCACTAAAGCCAGATTCTCAATCTCCTCGCTCATTTGGACCCACGTCACGATGACAGAGAAGGACGGGGCGTCCAAGGACCCCTTCTATGAGCGCTTGGAGTGCACGTACGAACGCTACACCCGTCATAATGTCAAAGTCGTGGTTGATGATTTCAATGCCAGGGTGTGCAAGGAAGGGAAAATACATCTCAGTGTCTGAAAATTCAGCCTCCACTACGGTTGGGCGCACAGGAACTGTTTGGTATCGATATAGGGAGCTGAAAGGGGAAGTAAGATGTATTTGCAGCAAAAAAAAAGGCACAGGCCCAAAAACCTAAGAGCGAAGAGCTTGAAATGCTGGCCAACAGGAAAAATGCCAGAAATTGGTATCATAAAGTTAGGCTAATTACGGAAGTTTTCATGGCCAGGGCGAATTTATGTAAGGGCAAACACGGTGACCTAGTGACCGATGTCCAAAGCATGCTTAAATTGCGGAAGTGAACAGTGCTCCACCCTTTGAAGTGGTAACAACGGTGAAACCAGGTGAGAGATGAACTCGAGCTCCAGTCGAAGAGGGCGAAGTCGATGTAACACCATTCGACTGTTACGAGGTATGAATAGCAAATTCGCGGCTGAAAAACTACAAAGATGCGGGTACTGTCGGCTTACTATTGAAGTGTGACGGAACATACATCGACTGTAATGTATATAGAAACTCATGTCTACCAAAAAATGTGGCCTTCTCATTGCCATATGCGCACAAACACAAGAAAGGTGACCCCGCCCTTTCCGGTAACTGCGTCATTTGATTCCAACGAAGAAAAAACCCTGCAAAAGCAAGCAGCAGCCTTCTGTAACGCCTTTAGAAATTTAAAGACTTCTTATGAGTAAGTGAGCCGGGGTCCAACATTTTTCTCCGTTCCAGCTCTTAAAAAAATTACTCAAATTGAAGACGGATGCTCTATCAAACTCATCCTAACAAAAAAAAAAAATAAATAATACCATTTAATTTAAAAAGGCCCTCATTCTGGCATTTCTTTTATATTAACCCTATCTTTTTAGCTATGCAATACACACATAAAATTTTTAAATTTTCAAACCCAATTTCATGGGCCGATTTGTTCTTCAGATTCTTTTTTTGTTTTAACTACGGCCATGTTGGGACTTTCCTTTCCTTTTTTTGATTAGTCTGGCGGAAGAAATTTGATATAGCGGCAATGAAAGTAAACTTGGTTTCAAATCTAGTTGAGAAATCTTAGCCGGACGCCAATGGTTCACCAGTTGCAATTCACCTTTTAGGCCAAAATTAAGTTAAGAATACATATTTAAGAACTTAATTTCAAAATAGTTTAACTAAAAATATTATGTTTGGAAAGTTGAATATTGTTCGTGCCAAAATATCTTTTCCTATTAATTTCACTTTTTTTTTTGCTAATGGCTAAGTAAGTTTTTTCGGTAGTAAATTTGTTTAAAGAACTTTGTGATTGCATGAATAAATAAATAATAATGCAAAGTTGCTAAGTGCATTTTTAAAAGTTTTCCACAACGAATTCATTTCTTGAGACACTTTTTTATCTTCACATCACACTTCAAAAGCATGTTAATCGCTTAATTTTCCTTTACCTTAAGTCCACTGGATCTGTATCCAAAAAATTAACCAACGAACGTCCTGAAATTTTGTCATCCTTTGTAGAAACCAAGTCATTGAAGAGCGTAAAATTATCATGTTCATCGAAACGATGCAAAAAATTGATAGCTGTGCGTCCGATACACTCGCGCAAACTCGGATGCTGCGACTTGCGCATGCAATAACGGAACTGATCGAGATCGCGCGTTGAAGTATCGACATTGGTGACGGCTTGAACGGCAGTGATGCACAAAATTAAAGCCAATTTACTCAGTAGAACACTGCATGCAACAAGCGACATTTTCTGTAACAGTTAAAAAATTTGTGAACTTTCCAGTGTGTGTGTGTGTGCTTTTTTTATTTTATTTTGTATTTCCCGAGGTGTGGGCGTTAGAAGGCTGGCCGGTCAACTAAACTGGTCAGCTTGTTGGTTAGGCGAATTTATAGCTGCACACAGGTATTTTAGGTCGCTGATGTAACGTGCTCGCTACTCCGTCAAAGTACGCAGTCGAATTTACAAACCGACAAATTCATACATACATACGCATACATAAGTTTGAGTAAGGAAATGTGTAACTTGACCGAAAAATCGCCGATGTACGTACATCATTCGTTAGAGTCGTCTCCATTAAAAACACAGCACACACATCCACCCACACATATGTAGGCTATAAATATTCGCACATTAAAAAACCGAAATGCCAGCATTGGTGGCAAATAAAGGAAAATGTACATAAAAACCAAGCCAAAAGTCAGTTGCTGCTGTAACTATTTAACAGCAGGTTAACGACGTCGTCTTCGATGCATGGGACGACGTCCGCTGTAAGCCGGTCGTTCGCATATATGTACTACTTTTGACTTAAGTCAAAGTGCCACTAACCGCTTGCCACACGCCATGGCCATGGTCAGTGCACGCCGCCAGCGTCTCAGTCAAACTTAGTAGCTGCTGTGTAATGCTGCTTCGAATTTTCAGATTTTCGCAATTTTTCGCACTCGCCCAGTCCATTATGTAAATGGATTTTAACGCCGGCACACATAAAAAAATTAAGTATGTTTGTGTGTTAATGTGTAAAGCTGGCCGATCTGTTATGCATTCAGCGCAGATTTTTAGTCAATGATAAAAGAAAAATGGCCAAAGTTATGAAATTTCGCGCAAGTGTTAGCGATGTGTGACTTTAAAAGTCGCAAAAGTGAACTTCTTTTAAAAATTGTGTGTTTGCCGCGAAGTATGCGGTGAGTAGACCAAAATGCTTGGCTGCCTTCTTCTTTTTATAAAAACGACAAGGTTTCAACTGAAAATATATTAAGCAGCTTGTAATTTTTTTTTTCGAAAACAAAAAATTTTAATTAGTCAGAATCACGAAAAAATCCAAACTTTGACATATCCGAAGAAAAAAAATAATAATTTCCTCGAATAAGTGTTAGCTTATTTCATGTGTAGAACCCATAAAAAAAAATTTAAGCGAATCGAAAGTGTGACACCAAATTTGGTGTCCGATATGAAAAAGAATGCCTCATACGTATAAATGTATGGCATATATTTTTCCCAAGCAAGTTTATAATATTGTTTTAATGACGTCTGTCTTCCGTTAATAATACTCATCACACTTGTTTGGAAAATATGATAGCCAAAACGAATTATGTATTTACTGGGCTTCACAAATTTGAAATATGTATAACGTTGATCATACATATCGCACATCGTCTTCGAAAGAGTCACAACTCAAAATTTGGCATTTTTGAGATTATGCGCTAAAAATGTACGCAGAGCTTTTATTGATCTTTTAGCAAAAGCTGGTTATAATTTGTTAAAAGAAGCCTAAGGTAAAGTCGCCCTTGCCCATATGATTATCATGTGCTAAGAAATAATTTTTTGCATTTTCTGTCAAACGTATTATGTATTTTGAGTTGTGACACTTTTGAAGACGCTGTGCGATATGTACATACGTACACACGTGAAACATACATGTATACATAGCGAGCCCTAACCGCCGACAAGACGTACGCAGTTTCCTTTTTCAAAATTTCCTTTTTGATGCAGAAATGCATATAGATGCTCTAGAAACAAAGACAGAGATATTTGATAGCAAATGAGGTTTTAAATACGGCGACTTCTTGTCGTTTATTTATTAAATTTTATGTTGGAAGAGATACATTATAAGCGCCGAAGAACTGAATTGCTCAGGTTAATTTTTTTTCCCAGATCACACAATTGCTGGCATTTGCCGACGACATTGAAAATAAGACGAAATATTTTCAGTCATAAAACAATTAGTTGGCGCATGCGCGGCTTGGCACTCACTGTCACTGTTGAAAATTACAATTTCGAAAATGTAGAGAACTCCATCAATAATATCGCGCTCGACTCATGCTTTCCAACTATTGCTACTTTGGACTAAGTAGATATTTGAGAACCGCGCGCTATATGTCTTTCATCACGCCCGTGATGGTTTATGGCGCAGGGGGTTTGGACAATAACAACGTCTGATTTCCGGACATTTGCACAATGTAGAAAAGGGGCCACTGATATGAAGCAAAGTGTTGCTTACATAGATACTAACGTTTGACCTAAATCTGGTTCCGGCCGTCAATAAGAACCCTAAAATTCCTCCTTACATGCCCAATTTGTGGTGTCATATGAAAGCCATAACCATAGCAACAACCTTGCTTATGTCCACAGAATTATCTGTTTTTGTATCTCTTAGATGTTTACAACTCCCATCAAAAGAAAAAAAAAAAATCGCTGCAAATATTAACATCGTTGCACTTCGTATGATAACTAAAAAAAAATATATATATTTTCTAGTTTTATAAAATTATAAATTAGATATTAAAGCACTGCAAATATACCAACAGAAATACTCTTCACATGTGTACATGAGTAAATGGAACATATATTTTAGAGTACTTAAAAAGATAGGAACAAAAAAAGAGAACATCATAAATTAGAGGAACTGAGCAATGTTACTCAACAGAGCTCTGCTACATAAAACAGTGTTCCGCTTTTCCAGAGTACTTGAGTATGTTGATTGCATTCAGTAGTATTTGAAAACTTCATAGGAAGTATAAGAATACTTATGAAGTTTTTTCTTTTAAATGTTAGCATTTAACATAGTGTTAAGAAAAGACATACATTTTCTTTTTATTCCAATATATACTTAAAATATTGTTTTACATTTCTGGCCGGACGCTTCAATGTTTGCAAAAAAGTTCGAATCTTTCATACATATACATGATTTATGTACATATTATGTAAATTTTTTTTAATATCGAAAAATGTGTGCCCATTTTCCCGCAACCTGTCTTTATGGTCAGTTTTTATTTTCAAATTGATATTTTCATTTCCCAATACCAGGCGCTAATACATGTGAAGTAACAAGTTTTCTATTGCTAAGCAGAAAATTGTTTGTATAAATTTTTAGATTTCCAAAATTCTACTTTGTGAATTTCCAAAGGCTTCTACAAACGAATTAAAATCTTCTACAAACAAATGTATGCGTATGGAAAGCTTGCTACTTCATATGTATGTGCGCCTNAAGGAAACTGAATTCCGATGCAGACCTAATAGGTATAAAATAAAATTTCTTGGAGTAAGATTTTAATGGTTATTTTACAGCCTTGTTTTGTTTTATGTAATTACGCTATTAAACGCCCCAATGTCATAGTTTTCAATTCACAAGAAATGCAGCTTGTTGTTCATTAACTTTATACTCAATTTGGAGCATAAATGAAGTAGCGGCTTTGGGCTTTTAAATTTGTGATTGTCAATTAAATTTTCAATTCGACCTTGCGTCTTCTACAACCTCTTCAAGAAAAAAAAACCAAAAAGTTGTCAAATCAAAGGCTAAACAGTGATTAGCAATTTCCGTAAACACTTACATACATACTTACATACATATTTTCATAAAGCAGTAATCAAGTATAATGATATCATTAAAAGTTTCTGTTCACAAAGGTCAAATAAGCAAATAGTTTTGTTTTATAAATTTTTTATTTTGTCTTAATGTGTTTAAGTACCAAGTGAGTAGCATGTGGCCTAAATAATTTCGCCCCAGTTTATGGCACAGTACAAGTGTGTAAATTATCTATGCAATATTGCATCTCTCAAAGCGAAAATTGTTTGCTCCTTAAAAAAATGTGCGAATCATCTCTAGAGGAGAGTTAGTGGTTCCGGATAAGTCCATGGTATGTAATTGAACATTCAGGGTCGTATAACAGCCTAAAGGAAACAAGATAGGTACGTGTACACATATACATATATATTATATTAAAATTTCAGCAAGAATAATTTTGCAGAATTTTTTAACCCATTACCTCTCTCACAAACGGGTCGTTATGAACTCTTTTTTGGAGATTTTGAACACAATGGCAAGGCCTCAGGCCTCAGAACCTTTAGAGGGTTAAAATTTTCTAGAAAATTTTTCAACGGAAAATTGCAATTACGATATTCTCAGACAAAATATTTACACAAATAATAATAAAAAACAAATACTTATGTCCCGTTGAAATACACAACAACTAGTTACGCTTAGAGGGATGGGTTGGGGTTTGGGTCATCTGAGATATTTATGATTTTCACATGTATGTTTTACTGCTGTTTCTTTAAATTCTTCATAATCAGGATCTTCGAACACCTGGTTACTCCACCAGCAAATTTCTGCTTTGACGATATGTTTTTAGCACATTTTAATCCTCCACCGGCCTGGCACATGCCATTGTATTCAAACATTACAAAAAAAAAGAGTCAAATACCCTTTACAAGAGAAAGATAATAGGTTCGACCAAAATATTTCTTTACTGTATGTCGCCAAACTACGTATTTAGCTCCGATATGAATTTTAACCCTTTTTCCGCTTATTATAAAAATACTCAGGCACAAATTTTTAAACTTAATGTGGCCTTAAAAAATTGTTATCTGCGACCACAAAAGGTTTGGGAGGGTTCACTATATGGGTCTAGGTATTTCTTCCTGAGAGGGAATCATTCCGTCCCCAAAAAATGCTGCTGTATTGTGTTATCGAAAATGTTTGAAATCCGGAAAACACATCTGCTTTAGTTTAGAGAACGGTGAAAAAAGCGATATTTTCCATATGCGCCGGGGGTATAAAATTCCTCTTCACTCGAACCTGAAACCGAGTGAAACCGAAATGCAGCAAACTTTAAAGGATCTATGATGAACCAGAGTACCCTGTAGCGGTAAAGACACACAGATACAATTCTTTGGATCATCCTCACTCTCGAGACAGAGCTGTTAAGAAATGATTATAAATTGTAAATAATGACTACCGATTTAATTAATTTTTTCTTATTCTGCTTAGTAAATAATTATCATTATTTCTACTTTTAAATTGATAATTATCGATAACTATTAAAAATAATCAGAAACTAATCGTATAT